CCTTCACCATGATTGATCAATATTAAGCGATCAACAAATCCTAAGTCGATCTTCTGTCCTTCTATGATCTCATCAAGAATGTCACTGGTCAGTTTCAACATCCAATTTTACACTGTAAGATGTCTTTTCACATGCTAAACTCATGTCTCTGAATCTCTCAATCAATTCCAACTCCTGAACCATAAGCGTCGACATGTACAAAGACTTCATACTCAATGCACCAAACACGATAAAGGAATTATCCCAAATTGACAAGGATCAAGGAGAATATGGTATCTTCTAAAACCCTTTGTCAACATTGTAAGGAAATATTTAAATATTGAGATAATGTTTCATCCATAGCCTATGTCAACAGACAACTATGTAATATATGAGAGAACTTACCAAAAATATACCCCACAAGAATAAGGAAAAAATAGCCCTGGCCCTTGTAATGGATGAAATAATCTAAAGCACTATTTCCTCGTGTATTCTATCGTTGTAAGACAAAATTATCCCATCAAGAAAATACTCTTCAAACCAATCTTAATAGGGAGAATGACAAATTAGGCTATTAAAATCTTCGAGTTTGAATTTTCCTAAAAATTGAGGAAGGCACTCAAGGCACGGGTCACGAACAAATTCATTTCAGAAACCACAAATGATGAACCAAACACGTCACCAACTTTGACATTCAAAGCAACTCAAAGATTGAGAAACCACTTTCTCCCCATATTGGTCAAAATATTGTTGGGCAATGACCATTATGTCATCAATAATGGTAAACTTTTCTTCCACAAAGGTTTTCTCTTGCTTCTTAAAGGCTTCCTAATGCTCTTTAAGTTAGGAAGTCACACTTACTTTTCCCTCAACCTCGATGAGCTTTTTCTTCATAGATTCCTGACTCTCAGCAAACTTGGCTAACCCCTCATTCACCTTGATACTTCATTCTTTCGTTCAGTTTAATCACTTTTCAACACTCCCATGGTAGTTTCCAAATCTTTCTCAAAGGTGACCCTTGTTTTTCAGGTGGTTTATCTCCTTCTCTAAAAGTTAAACTTTAGACCACAAATTTTCTTTTTTGGTTTGAAACTCTTGGTCCATGGTAAAAAATAAAACTAGTAAGGGTCATCACCTTGTCCAAGTAAGGAACACATTTAATAAGGGCATTTTGATGCCCTAAAGGCCCTATTGCAGCCAACGAGCGGTAGTCCATAACCGGTATCAGCGAGAAAATATTTTCTATGGAGCTATGAACTGAGTTGGCTAAAACTTGCAAGGATTTTCCCTCTTCAAAGACATCACTGGTAGAAGGTGATTTGTTTATATTGTTAGGTCAAAGTGGAGTTGAAGCTCTCTTAGCAACCAACATTGAAGTCTCGTCTGACTCATCTGTCACACATGTGAGAATTCCATCCTCCCCGATCAAGGGAACACTTTGACTTAGAACATATTTTACAATTGGGCCAACAACTGAGCCCCCGACCTTTTGTAAGTATTGAAATCATCCTCAAATGTCACGATTAATGCAAAAATGAAAATTAAAGTTAACAATTAATAAGAAATCATCCAAAACTACAAAGTGTCAAAGGATTGTGAGATACACCCAATAACCATGTGACATCATCTCAACTAGAGGCAAAAATCATAGACCATGTATCTATATATCAGTCTTTCATTATTTTTGTTCCTTTGACTTTCATCTACTACAAACACTTGATCGAAACCATTGACAAAATTTGGATGGCTAAAGCACACTTCCTTTATGAATGAGAAATATCAACTATCTTGAAAACAAGTTCTGCTTTAGTTTGACTAAAGATGTTCTGTGTAACACCCTAATTTAATTAGAATTACTTTATTGGAATAAAATAGATGATAAGATGTGCTTATATGTGTTGATGATCTTATGATGCGTTTTGATGATTATGTTGGAAAGTTAGAAGTAGTGATAATTGAAGAAGTTAGGGGTGAATGAACAATATTAGCAATATTATTATTATTATTATTATTAATATTATTATTATTATTATTATATGAGATAAATAATATTTTATAATATTAATAATTATTAATTAAAATTAACCTAGTAATAACAGGAGAGGCAAAGTTGGTATATAAATTTTAGGGGTCTAAAGTGTGTGGTTAGAAGAACAGAAGTAAAAACACGAGGAATAGACCGTAGAAGTGAGAAGAGAAGAACGAAGAGAAGAGAAGAGCGTACAAGCTAGGGTGAGGAATCTTCGGTAGAGAGCTTAGAATCATTAAACCTAAGGTAAGGGTGAGATTCTGACTTTCTAATAAGTGGTTTAATTGTGGATAGATGATAATATTGAATGTTAAGTTTTTGGGGTAAATTATTGTGAAATTGATTGTTGAAATCACTTGTAAATGATGAGATTGATGTGTTGGAATTATGGTATATGATGTGTGCTGATGGTTTAAAATGATTAATGTGTTTGAACTTTCATAAAAAGTGATTTTTAGATGAAGAGGATGAGATTTCGTAGCAGAAAATTCATGTTTTTGGGTCTGTTCGCGATGAGTAATCGGTTACCATATTTGGGTAACCGGTTATCGCTATTTGGGTTTTTGAACATTTGTCTACTGACTTGCAGTAACCATTTATCGTAACTGGGTAACAGGTTACCACAGAGAAATTTTGGGAAAAAGTAGGGTTACTGTCTTGCAGTAACCGGTTACCGCTGTGTTGGACAGAATTTTCGAAAACTTGAAAACTCCATAACTTTTGATTCGGGTGTCCGTTTGATGCGTCATTTGGATTGTTAGAAAGCTAAAAATATTTTCTATAATTTGGTAATAATTTTGATGATAGTATAATAATTTCTTATTGGAAGAATTCTGATGTGTACGTATGTTGTATGTGTTGTAATGCAAAATGTGGTGATTAATTGTATCGGTGTTGTATCGATGATGTGTGAAGGAATTACAAGTGATGTTGCAGTATTACGAAGATGATGTTGGCCTGAAATTGGCGTGATGTTGATGATTATGCTTGTGGTTGCATAATTTTGTTGTATCATATCGCATTTCATGCATCATTGATGGCTTATGCTTTGGCCTGTATTGGCAATCGTTGAGGGCTTATGCCCTGACCTTTATGGCAAATGTTGAGGGCTTATACCTTGGCCTGTATTGACAATTGTTGAGGGCTTATGCCCTGGCCTAAATGGCAATTTGTTGAGGGCTTATACCCTGATGGTACCCCATGCATTTTGCATTAGAGTTAGTGGCATTGCATTTGTTGAATTGCCAAATCATTGAATTGTTGAATTGTGGACTTGTTAGAGTGGTGTGATTAATAATGATCCAACTTGAATTCCTGCGTGATATATCTGTTGTTTACTTATAATTATATTACTTATTATATTGTCATAATATCTCACCCATACTGTTTGAATGTTGTCTCTAAGTGGGTAACATGCAGATAACCAGGAATAGTGCAAATTCACAGAGTCTAGAAGAGGTTGCTCCGTTTATTTTAAATGGGTGTCCTTGCTCTGATACGTAACACCGGGGGGATGAACGCTCAATTGTTTTATTTTAGTTGATGTCTTTTTTGAGAATTTTGAGGAGTGTTGTAGACTCTCTTTTAATTAATTATATTGTTGATTTTATGATGGTTGAAGATTTTAGAATAATTATGAAATTCTTTCCGCTGCGTTAATAAAGTTGAAGTTTGAAAACAATATTGAAATGTCGATTCATCCGAAATGTGTGTTATGTATCTGTTTTATCTTAATTGAGCAACATTTGAATATGTTGAATGATGTGACATCCTATTTTGGAGTTTTATTTTACTCTGATTTTTTTTAAAAAAAATCACCGTTGGAAAAATAGGCTGTTGCATTCTGGTTCTAACACAAAGGGAACAACAATTCACAAACAACATCACCAACCCCTTCTTTGAAACTACACACATTTTAATGAGAAATGACGACACTTGACTCAACCATAACCTAATAAAACATGAAAAAATTTAGATCTTCCGTAAAAATCTCAAACAACTTGAAAGACTGTTTAAAGTAAATCAAACCAGATGAAGTATTGGAATCGTCCGAGGAAATAAAGAATATCCAGAAAAAGACCTTGAGAAACACCTCTTATACATATATTTGAACACACACTGAAAGTCGTTTATGAAGACCCAACAATTGAGATGTGATTAAGAAGGTGCAACGACTATGTAAAAATTTCTTAATGTGAAAGAAAAGAAAAAAACATCTCCGAATACACCACTTCAAACATGAAAAAGATTAGACAAGCAAAATCTCTATAAATCTTAAAGTAAATATTGAAACCATCACCCCTAACTAATTGAATTTAATAGAGATAGACAGACAATATTAATTTTTTTTTACTCTATCATTTAATATAAATATATTATTCTGCCATATTATACAAAAAAATTTAAAATTTTCTATTAAATTAAAAATGTAAAATTAATTTACACTACATATGTATCATCTCTTTTCTCTAACTAAAAGGGAACCGAATTCCTTCACCACCTCATATTTATCTAATTTCTTCCTCTACTAACTTTTAGAAAATATTTTATTAACTATTGTGTACTCCATTTTTCTAACAATATATTTAGAACATACTATTGATGGTAGATAGAATAGAATAGAGAGAGAGAAAAAAAAATTTGAAAATTTGAAAAAAAGTTAAATTGTCAAAGTCAAGAGAGATTATTAATGGAGTATCTTATTATGTACAGCATGTATGCAGAATTGTAGATACCGGATGCGATTTTTTCTGCTACACGCACGCGCCTGTCTCTTTCTGCCGTTTAATTATGAATTTAACTAACCAACGTAACCCTATTTTCTATCTAACCTACTTTTTCCATCCATTATTTATACCCTTCACCCTCTCTTTCTCCCTCCACAACAACACTTTCTTTTTCTCTCTCTACACTCAATAACATCATCACTACTCTCTTGTCCCCCCAACACATCATCATCATCGTACCCTTTTTTCTCCTTTCTTAAAAAATAATGGAGGGTTGTATAATTTATACGAGGAAACGAGTTCGTGATGACTCGGATGCCGACTCGACCGAGTCCAAGCGAGTTACCCGAGTCGACTCAGTTTCTGATAGCCTCTCACGTGTCGACTCGGACGGGTCTGAATCTGAAATCGTTTGGGTTGAATCTGAACCTGACTCGTACGAGGTTAATGATATGACTGATGAGATTCTTAACATACTTGATGAAACAGATAATGTCCAGGAGCGTGAGATCACCGTCACCGCCGTTCAAGGACTCGACTCTGTCATCAAGAGTTTTGAAGATGAGATATTTGCCCCGGGTCTGTACCAAGTACCCGACTCCAGTGAGTTCAACCCGAATCTTGGGTATTTACTGGAAGCTTCAGACGATGAACTTGGTTTACCACCGACTATGGTGCAAACCGAGGAGAAAATTTTACCGGAAATCAATGAGTCGGATCGGGTTGGCCCGGACGGTGTTGATTTGACCGGGTTTTATTGGTTTGAGGAAGAGATTCGAAACAATGAAGGATTCGGGTTGATGGGTTATGATACTGTTTCCGATGAGAACGACGGTGGCTATGTGACGATTGATGGACTGTTTGATTATGGTGAACCGACGGATTTTTTGTGGCGGTCGGAGTCGTTGCAGGCTATGTAGGATTTTCCGGCGCGGCGAGATTTTGTGATTGTCTTCGCCGGAATTTATGGTTAATGTTTTTTTAGGAAGGACATATGACGTAGGAGGGTAGATGTGAAAATTTATAATTTATGAAATTTGTTGAATAGGCCCCTGACTTGTTCGATAATTTTTTTTGGTTCTAAAAATGTTTATGAATGGATGTGAATGTGACTCTAGACATGCTTTTATTTTTTTCTTTTTACTTTTAAAAAAAGAAAAGGGATTTATGGTGATAAGTCGTTTGTTCTAGATTAAAATTTTGTTGTTGGAAATTATGTTTATATTCGTTAAAAATAAATATTTACTTGTTTTTTTTTCAATTTTTTTTAAAATAAACTAAATATCAAAATTTAATTTAATATGGGACATATGATGTGTCTAATTCAAGATTTTATTTTGAAAGCAATAAACACGTTAGAAGAACATAACTTTATCAAGAATTGAAGCTATTTAATTTTAAAGAAAATTCGGTTATAAAATTTGTGGGATAAATTATAGGATTATTTTTGTATTTAATATGATTTTTGTTCTAGATCTACTTTTATTTTAAAAAATTAAGATTCAAAATTGATATAAAATGCTTTCATATTATACCGGCACACGTAGCTGTCATTTATCATAACTTACTACTATATATATAAGATTCAAATTTTTTTATATAAATATCACACCACACCCTTCAGCACGTGAGTGATATCTAATCAGCTTCTACTTTCGTAAAAACTTAAATTTTTAAAAATAGAAAATCAAAACAACTTCATAATTTTCTCATCACAAATTTGACCAAAAATTTATATGAGGTATGACACAAGAGAGTTCTCATAATCATAAACTCTTAATTGACTACTCATACATAATTAAACGTAAAACACGCATACGAATAGATAAAGGCATATGCATTGTAAAGAAACAAACAAATAAAATGAAATTGTATTGTAATGAATCTCATGTGATGTGTTAAAGTAGGTATTTATCCAAGTTTCATATTGAGCAATAGAAAGAAAAAATGAATAAAATGTTATTATAAATATAGAGAGTTAGTTTGAGTTTATTCACCACAATAATTCTAGATTTTTGGTGTATTTGAAATTTGGATAGTTGTGTGTTTAGAGAGAGTTTACCATTTTTCTATATAAAAATGGTGGTTGAGAGGGTTTTTGATTTTTCCGTGTAAAAATAGTTGAAAATTTTTTTTCCGTCTAAAAATAGTTGTTGAAAGGGTTTACAATTTTTTCGTCCAAAAATTGCTAACTAGTAATAAATTTTTGATTGTGAGTTTATTTTATTTGTATTCAATTTTTGAAGATTTACTCTGGTTACATTTCCAACAACTGGTATAAGAGCAAAAGTTCCGATCAAGGAAAAATCACAGGTTTGTTATCATCTTATTTGATTTGAGTTTTATTTTTCTTAAACAATATAATGACTTCATTGAAGTTGGATATTTCTTTGTTTGATGGGAGAATGGATTTCCCCTTATGGTAATGCACGATACAAGACTATTTGGTCCAACAAGGTCTTGATTGTGCTTTGGAAAAGAAAAAAATTGAGTGAGATGAAAAAATCAGATTGAAATTCATAACAAAAAAGGCAGTGAGTACAATTCAGTTAACACTTGCTTCACAGGTTAAATTGACTTTGTTAAAAGAAATCTCTCCAAAGAAATTGTAAGATTTTGTTAGAAAGCAAGTTTACATCAACCACATTAACCAATCAATTGATGATGAAAATGAATTTATACTCATTGAAGATGGAAGATGAAGGTAATGTATTTGACCATATTAATAAATTTAATGAGGTGGTATTTAGAATCATGAATGCACGAGAAGATATCAAAGACGAAGAGCAAGCACTATTTTTGTTTGCTTCACTATCCAAATCTTACAAATCATCAGTGCAATCAATGTTAGCATGTAAGAGCATACTACAATTAGATGAAGTAGTAAAATCATTGAAGGAGAATCAACAACTGATGGGTATTGATCAATCTTTCAAAGAAAATCAAGTACTAGTAGTCAAATGAGGGCAAAGAAAAAACTATGGTGATCAATATGGTAGAAGTTTTTAACCAAAAGGTATGAGTTATGTGAAGTGTCATTACTGTCAACAATTTAATTACATGCAATCTAGATGTCCAAAATTATAGTGGGTGTGCGAAGTATAAAGAAGAAGACAAAAGAATTGAAAAGCGGCCCTTATGCAAATATGGGTAGTTGTGAAGTCGATCTTTTAGTTTGTGAGGATGAAAATGACTATGAAGTGAAGAGATGTGACATTTTAAATGAATGGAGGATATGTTGTGTTAAAGTGGGTACTCATCCAAGTCTCACATCTGTTAGTGCGTGAGGCACTTTTAGTGAGGAGAGAAAGAAAGAAGAATAAGGAAATAAGAATTATATTATTCACTTGAACTGTTCCAAATAATGATACAAATGATGACTATTTATATACACCTAACTTATACACTAAGTAGGCTAATAAACACTAATTATGTTTGGGATTAGGTTACCTAACTTGTATTACGTTTAATATCTCAATACACCCCCTTAATCTAAGTTGTCAAACATACTAAAAAATAGACAATCTGAACTATTCCTAATTTCTTTCTCAAATTCAGAAATTTGTCGATCTTTAATCCTTTGGTGAAAATATCGACCAAATGTGCTTCACTTGAGCAATGCCCAACTTCAAGTTCACCTTGATTTACCTTTTCCCTCAAGAAGTGAAATCTAGCTTCGATATGCTTACTTCTTCCATGTAGAACTGGATTCTTCGCCAGATTAATGGCTGACTTGTTATCGATTTGCAACACAAGAGGTTTCTTCACTTCGACAGTCATTTCTTCAAGTACAGATCTGATCCAAATTGCTTGATATTCAACATAGGATCCTGCTATATATTCAGCTTCACACGATGACAATTCCACCACGAGTTGCTTTTTCGAACACCAAGATATTAGAGAACCAAATACTTGAAAGAAATATCTAGTTGTGCTTCTTTGGTCTTCCTTATCTTCACACCAATCAGCATCTTAAAAACAAGTAACTGTTGTTTCTTTGCCTTCAGAATCTCGTCGAAATATAATTCCATAGTCTATCAATCCTTTTAAGTATCTCAGAATTCTTCTTGCAGCTTCATATGTGACACCCTTGGTTCGCTCATGTATCTGCTCACTAATCCGACTGCGAAGCCTATGTCAGGTCGACTGTTACACACATATCTCAGAGATCCAACTATTTGTTTAAACAAAATTACACCGAATTTGTCTTCCTCTCCATTCTTCTCCAACTTCACATTTGGTTCGAGAGGTGAGGATGCAGAATTCGAATCATCCATTCTGAATCTCTTGAGTATCTCTTTGACATACTTCCTTCGATGTAGCACTATACTTTTCTTCGACATTTAAAATTTCGTTCCTAGGAAATAAGACAATTTTCCCAGATCTGACATTTCAAATTCTCTCATCATCAGCTCTTTGAACTTCGACAAGTTCTCCAAGTCATTTCCAGTTACCAGAAAGTCATTGACATATAAGCAGATGATTGTTATCTCTTATGCTACAACCTGAACATATACACCATACTTATACTTGCATTTTACAAATCCTAATTCAACTAAGTATGAGTCGATCTTCTTGTTCCATACCCTAGGTGTCTGCTTGAGACCATAAAGCGTTTTGTGTAACTTATATACTTTACTTGCTTCCTTCTGAATCACAACCCCAGGAGGTTCTGCAACATAGACCTCTTTGTCTAAAGGATCATTCAGAAATGCTGATTTTATATCTAAGTGAAATGTCGACTAACCTTGGTTACATGTCAACGCTACCACTAGTTGAATACTACAACAAAAATGTCATTTTACGACACATAGATTGTGACATTTACTTGATACCTGTCATAACTCTAATATAGAGATGCGTGTCAGGAGAGTATACACCAACCACCCTAGAAATCAGCTCACGACGGTTTAAAAACCACCCTAAATTATATGTCACAACAATATATTAACCGTCGCCATCCAAACCTAATAACACATCTTCCTAAATGGTAGAGTAGTCGAGTACTTCAGAGTAGTAGAGTCCTTCTCTTTGAAGAAAACCTCGAGCTACTAATCTTGCTTTATATCTTGCTATCAACCCATCAACATTGTGTTTCAACTTGAACACCCACTTTCCTTTGATAGCTTTTGTCTGTGCTGGAAATTCGAATAACTCCCATGTGTTATTTCTTTCAATTGCATGTAACTCTTCAACCATAGCTAACTTCCATTGTTGAATCTTTAAAGCCCCGTTATAGTTGACTGGTTCAACACATGCAAGTAAAGAAAAATGAACTAATTCTCCATATGGTGTTACTTCATCATCACTCGTTACTTTATAATATTGAAGTTTAGTTGGAAGAAATATAGTTCTTTGAAGTCTTTGGCTTATGCTAGCCACACCCTCTTCGAATTCGAATGTGTAAGGAATGTGAGCAACTGCTTCGACTTCGTGGAATATTTACAATTTCTTCGACTTCGACTTCATCAGTTTCTTCGTCGAAACCATAACTCATCAATGGCTTGTTAATTGCATCATTAGAATTCCAATCCCAGGAAGAGTTTTCATTAATCACAATGTCTCGACTTAAAACAATCTTATCATTGATTGGATTGAATAGCATGTCCGGTGTACGCCCTAGTTTTATGATATCCTACCAGAATCATAGGTTCACTCTTGTCATAAAGCTTCCTTATTCTTGCATCAAGAATATGCTTGTAACACATAGATCCAAACACATTCAGATGACTCACTGATGGTCGTTTGCCGCTCCATACAAAAAGCTTCCTTATTTTGTCCTTTCTCTTGACCACATAGATCCATAACTTTTGATTAAACATATCGACAAATGAAACAAAATATTTGTTTCCACCAATGGTATGTTCTTCAAATGGGCCACACACATCTGAATGTACAACTTTGAGTATGCATAATGATC